TTGGAAGAACCTTTCTTTAGTTTTCCGGTTGTACATCTTAGCGTAGCGTGCTCCGGCCTTCGCGAGCTCCTCGTGCGCTAGCTTGCATGTCTCTTCCAGCCGATTTCGGAGGTCAAAAACGTGGTGATAGGTTGTCTTCTCCTCCTCGTCGAGGTGGTGGTTCGTCCACAGCTCCTTCAGAATGGCCAGGGGTCCCCTCACATGCCGCCCATACAAGAGCTCAAAGGGCGAGAAGCCCAAACTTGCCTGGGGGACCTCCCTGTACGCGAAGAGCAACGGCGCCAGGTAGCGGTCCCAGTCTCTCGGTTTTTCGGCGCACATTCTCTTTAACATCAGTTTCAGGGTGCCATTGAATTTCTCGACCATCCCATTTGCCATAGGGTGGTACGGCGTTGTATGCAGCTGGTGTATGGAGAGAAGTCGGGCAACCTCCTTCATCAAGTCAGAAGTAAAATTGGTGCCCCGGTCGCTTAGGACTTCGTTCGGGACGCCGAATCGAGAGAACATTTCTACTAGCGCCTCAGCGACCCTCTCCGTCTCAATGCTTGGCAGCGCCACGGCCTCCGGGTATCGGGTCGCGTAATCCATTAGGGTCAGAATATACCGATTTCCATGCTTGGAAGGGGGCTGGATTGGGCCCACGATGTCTATGGCCACTCTTTTGAATGGGGTTTCAATGAGCGGCGCCTTCCCCAGCGGCACACGGGTTACTCTGCCCTTTGGGATCGTTCTCTGGCAGATGTCACATGATGCGACAAATCTCTTCACGTCTGCGGTGATGCCTGGCCAGAAAAATTCCTCCAAAATTCGGTCCTTCGTCTTTTGCACGCCCAAATGACCAGCCATTATTCCGTCGTGTGCAGTTTTCAATACCGCTTCTCGATGGCACCTAGGGACGACCAGCTGACGCACCACGTGTCCGGTTTTCTCAGTGTAGCTGCGGTACAGTAGCCTACCCTCCCGGTGGAATTCGATATTTCCCTCGGAATCCCTGCACGTCAGTTTCTTGCCAATCTGAGAGAAGCACGGCCTGAGCGACTCGTCCGCTTCCTGCTCATCCGCGTAATCCCTGTTTAGCGGCTGTGCCGGGACGTCGGGGGCTTTGAGGGTTTGGAACCTTTGGGGTTGGTCCCTCATCTGCGAGCGCGTTACCACTGCTGCTACAGCTTCCTCATCAGCGGGCTCGTTGCTGATGGGTTCTTCCACTGCCGCCTTTGGGTCGTCGGGTGCCCTCGCGCCTTCTATATTTCCAAGGATTAGGTCATAGAGCGGCTCCGCCATGCAGAGCGCCGTGATGACCCCTGAATAGTACGGGGTGTCGATCTCCACCCGCGCTTCGGGCAGCATCCTGGCTGTTCCGTCGACTACATAAACGGGCCGGGTCTCTCCTGTAAGCTGATCGTCGCGGATGAGCTCTCGTCTTATAATCGCCGTATTGCACCCGGTGTCTCGCAATACCGAAATCGATTTGCCCTCATACGTTCCGGCAACCACCGGCAGTCCTTCGACTAGAAACTTCGGCTGTGTTATCATGACTGCATTCACGACGGGGATTCTTTCCCCATTCTTCAGCTCTAGGTAGCCGTCGCGAATGCCCTCCCGATTCGTCACCCCGACGGGGGCGTAAACGCACGATGCCTGAGGCCTATCGTTTGTTCCCGACCGGCACGTGTCGGCCTTGTGGCCCTTTCGCCCGCACTTGAAGCAAGTAAGGCCGTGGTTGTTAGTGGTGTGGGCCCGGCAGTGTGAAGCCTGATGCCCAACGCGGTTGCAAAGATAACAACGAGGCGCTGTTCGTTGACTGCTTCTTTTCTCGTCAGTTTCGGGCCTCCCGATATCATCTCGGTTATCCTTCTTTACTTTGGCGAGGTTAAGGCTTCCCTGCGCTTCTAAAAACTGGTCGGCTAGATCCAGCATCTCTCCCAACGATTTCGCCTTCCTTTCCTTCAGATAGAGCGCCATGTTGGAATGACACCCATGTAGGAACCTTTCCTTAATCAGGAGCTCTCGGAGGTCTTTGAACTCGTGTTTCGTATCGGACAGCTCGATCCAGCGATCGAAATAGTGGCTGAGACGCGCCGAGAACTGAGCTGCGGTCTCACCATCCGCCGGTTTGCCTGAATCGAATTTGTCCCGAAAGCCGTCCGCCGTGAAACGAAACCGCTTCAAAAGGGCTGTCTTTACCTTGGAGTAATCCGCTGCATCACCCGGCGGCAACCGCCCGTAAACACTAAGTGCTTCCCCGCTCAGACATGTTGCTAGAGCTGTAGACCACTGGCTCTCTGGCCACTTCTGGCTTTCCGCAAGGCTCTCAAATCGTCTAATATACGCGTCTAGGTCATCCTTCCGGTCATCGAACGGGATGAGAAGCTTGCTTGTGTTCAGTTTCAAACTTGGCTCCGCGTCTTTTCCCCGGCTTCCTTCCTTTTCTCTGGTCTCCTTCTCCAGCTGCTGACACTCTATTTTCAGGCGCATAAGCTGAATCTGACGCTCGTCAGCCTCCTTCGCGGCTGTGCGCTCATCCTCCGCTGTCTGCCGTGCAAACGCTCGATCCTCTCGCTGTTTATCTTCTACCCATTTTCGGAGCTCAGCGCCCGCCAGGCCAAGCTGACTACCCATCGCTAGCAACTTTTCCATTTCCATGCTTCTATCTCCGAAACACTTTCAACAACCCAAACAGGCGCTCACAAAAGGAAATCCCGTTCATGCATCGTACGTCTCAAATAACGCGGCACATTTCCAGAACTCGTCTCCCTCTCCAGTCACCACGTTTCCTTCGCATCGAACGTCCTGTCGCGGACGCCAGTTAATTGTCACAAGCCCGGCGACGACGGAAGGTCATCACCGAGACATGACAATAAGGGGGTGGTCGTTCGATGCCCGGCGTAGCCGGTAAGCAAACGCAGAGAATGAGACGGAGGCGTGTTATAAGGAAACAACAACAAAACAGTGTTTATAGGCTCGAAACGAACATAGAAAGGGAATTTAAAGTAACAGAACGTACATTTTACAAGACAGTGATGCTACGAGCGACAAACGTGTCGAGTTAAGCACAGAGAAGTACGTTACACATCCAGTTAAGTACGCGTGTACAAAGATCAAGACGAAAGTAACAGTCCAATTAGCGACGGTCGAAAGGAATGTTCAAAATTGAAGCAACATACAGTTAACCGGGGAGCACGGCGGCAGTCCATCCACAGAGACGACACACGTAGAGCGGCCCTCGAAGCGGCGTTCCTTCCGGGGCAGCGGGTGGTCGGTCTCGGAGATGCGGTGCGGCGGCTCGGGTTCCCGGGAGTACGCGGCGGCGGCTTTCCCCCCCGAAGAGCGAACTGATGCTGGGGTCCAGTCGCCCTCTTTTTAACGGCGTCGGGCGCTCACGGCCGAGGCACTCGCGGACGCTTGTTCACGCACGGGGTCGGAGTCCAAGCAGCACAACACCAACAGCACACAAAGTAGTTCATACAAAAAGGGAAGACCACGTAGACACGGCACCTTTGACACTGCATGGCCGCCATGTTGAAGTTAGAAAAAGTAAGACATAGCTAAAACAGGAGGCCCCTACGCCAACAACTTCTGTCCTGCTAAGGGTGACCTTGCAGGCGAGAAAAGTTTACCAATACACAAATGGAGCTCAAGACTTTGGGCGCAGTGAGGGTGACTTTGAGGTTGAAAAAAGTAAGGAAGACACAAAACATGAATCACGTACACCCCCGCTCGCGAACCGCGAGAGGTTGAGCTAACTAGGAAGAAACTAACAGAACGAAAACAACGCGCACGTACACGTGCCTTTGCAGCAACCGAACCAGCGACGGAGAAACATACAGGCTACAAGGAGAAATATGTGTACGGAAACGAAAACGCGTTATATTTAAATAACGTAATAAAAATAAATTACAGGATGCCACTACTTCTGTGACAGTGGTCCATTCTGATTTTGCTCCTGACAACTTATTGCACCTGGGGCGCCCTCTCCAATACTTTTACCACGCTGACTGGCGTTCCAACAGGCTACGCTGCACACTGTACCTTTTCAATAGCTGCGGATTATTGAGCTTGGATGAACCCTTATTGTTAGACGTTGAAGTATGACAGACGTCAGCCAGGGAAGCAGGGCTTACTGCTTGATTGACACATAGTTGAATGTCGTCAAACAAAAATGAAGGGGACAAACAACAGGCAGTGCACTGTGCTCTCTAGCCAGAGCTCACGTGATAGCATGCGGGTGTGCTTGCGCACGAGCGACCAGATACAGCTGTGTGACAGCGCAATGTTCCGACACAGCATCCACGAGCCAAACATTCACACTTTTCCCCTAGTGCGAATAAAATAGGCCGCGCTATTTGTGTGTGCTGCGATTGGGCACATGCTTGCGGCGGACTTCCACCATCCACCACATTTGTTTTGCACCATCGTGGTCCTTTTTAACAAGTCATAAGCTACTTCATCCGCAGGTTGTGAAAAAGCCCATGCAACTACAACCTACTATTAGCAAAGTTTGTAAACTTAGACAACACTTAAAGTATACACAGAGTAACGGACAAGACGACGCATTGTGACAGATGTGTAATTTTGTCCATCCTCGCATCTATACTTTTAGTGTTTAACTGCAACCAATGTGTTCGCTCTCAACTTTGTTGATAGGCTTGTTGACCGTCTGGCTGCAAGAATGCCGTCTTAAAACTCTGGTCACGCCGCAAATACACCTTACAGAAAGACAGTGTGCGACGCTGTCTGAGGCGTGTTCCTTCTTTGTCCGATGGTCCCGTCAGGTTGGTCGCATAAAAAGCGTCTGCAGACGTGTTTATACCTGCGCACGAAGCAAAGGCGGTTCAAACATGCTCGGGGCGCATCCGCAGATGATTTTGTTGTGTCTGCAGCGAACGCCGCATCTTTTGTACGTCGTACATGACTGCGGCCTGAAGAATGAACATCCCCGTTCTCGCGCCGCAGACGCTGAACCACGCTCGTAACCAGAGTCTCCCTTGTCTCATGTGCAGGCCAACAAGGACTTTGTGAGCTCCCTGGGCCTCTCGCACGAGCAGAACCTGCACAAGATGCGGCTGCTCACGCTGATGCAGATGGCCGAGACCCAGCGGGAGCTGGACTTCGACGTGCTGCAGCGGGAGCTGCAACTGCAGGATGTTGAGGGCTTTGTGGTGGAAGCGCTGCGCACACGCATGCTCACGGCCAAGATCAACCAGACGGGACGCAAGGTGGTGGTGGCCACCACCGTGCACCGCACCTTCGGCAGGCACCAGTGGCAGCAGCTCAAGGACATCCTGGTGCAGTGGCACGAGCGCCTCAACCTCGTCGAGAACAACATGGACCGGGTGGTTAGGGCTCAGTTTGAGCCCCTGGCCCCGCCCACGGCCTGAAACCCACGAGGGGTGGGGCGTGCGCGTCGGCAGGACTCTGGTTCCGGCGTCGGGCTGCTCGTTTTGGCCTCTCGGCGCTTCTTGGGGGCGTCGTCGCCGCAAGAGACCGGCTGCTGGCCATTAAAATAAACGTCAGATCGATGCTCTTTTTGTATTGACTGGGGTCTCTTTCTGTTCTGGGTCGTGTTCTGCCTTATCCTCTAGCATTACGTCATAGTGAGGTGTTAGGCTTCCGTCATCAGACAAAGATTCATATTTTTTCGGAGGTGCCCGCTAAGGAGCATACAGTTGTGCGCTCCTGTTGAGAAAAGAAAAAGTCATAAAAGTAAATATGATGCTACCTGCAGCATGGTGTATTGCTCCCAATGCCAATTTTAGAAGTGGGTTTTCTTCCTTTTCTTTTATGGCCAACCAGACATGCGGAGGTTTTGTAAAAAAGAGGGCAACCCAGATATTAGCTCATCACGAGGTTATGTTACGAGAATGCTGCTTGGAAGTCTTTGATACGTGGCTGCAGGGCTCTGTTTGTGCTGATGTAATTTCAGAGATGATAAAACAATCGTAAAAAAACTTAATACAAGTCATGTAGTGAGTGCATAAATACTGCAATTCAAACCTTGACAAAAGCTCTCTTCCCATAAAATATTCCAAAATAAAGATTCCTATACTCCGTTATACCTTACGTCCAACCGCAGCGGTGGCTACGAGTGGTCGGAGCCAACCCGAGGCTGTGCGGGTTTCTCGTAAACTTGGAGAGAAGGCGCAGTGTTGCACGGAGTGCTAATCATGTGGTTGCGTCACGTGGGTTGCTGCTTGCTGCGGTCAAAGTTGACAAAGCATGGCACCAGTGAAAGAGAAACAGGAAAGCGTTTTAGGCCTCTTCTTCAATAAGGATTTCGAAGATTTGAATGAAATAATATTTTGTTGACAGGCAGAAACGCATCCTGCAGTTCTCGCTATGTTGCCAAATGGCAAACTATACTCCGCGACAACTTTTCTTGGCAATGCTGTGGAAGGTACAGGCCCGCGTCCCCTCTCCCATTTTGAGTGTATGCAGGCTCTCCTCCTCCCCCATGCAGTGGAAGGTACAGGCCCGCGTCCCCTCTCCCATTTTGAGTGTGCGCGGGCTCTCCTCCTCTCCCCGGAAATGGGGGAGGAGGAGAGCCTGCATACACTCAAAATAGGAGAGGGGACACGGGCTTGTACCTCTGAAGAAAAGTTGTCGCAGAGTATAGACCGACACGCGGAGCGGCTCTGTTTACCAACACGGCCGGAAGGCCGCGCATGCGCGGTAGCTATGTGGGCAAAAGCAGCCCGGCTCTCCGTGTTTTCGCCATTGCGCTCTATGGCGTGCGCTCGTTGTTGCCGTTGTAGGGACGCTTGTATCTTTATTTGTGCGTCGTATTTCCTGATAACGTATGTCGTATGCTATGCCCGACTATTTGAGCTCGTTGCCCGAGCCTGAACGGTAGCGGTATCGAAACAAACTGCGCGTGGGCGGCGTTGCCTACGAGGATCCGCACGCCGTAAACAAGGCCTGCAGGACTTCCGACGTAAAGTTGCTGCCACGGAAGTCGACGGCTCGGGTCGTCGTTTATTTAGTTTTTTCGCCAAGCCAGCTCACGGCCGACACGGTGCAGGCGTACAAGTCTCTCGAGGTCTACGATTACATCGAGTCGGTTTCCGCACTGCCCGCGGGATCAGCAGACTGTGGGTCTGCGGAAATGTGTGTATTCATTATTTGATTAAATACACAGAGCGTCTTCAAGTCAAGGTATGATATTTTTCATACCCTCATGACCACAAGGCATTACAACCAGTAAAGGTTTGTCCGTCCTGTAGTCTTGGCGGTAACAGGTTACAAGTAACGGCGTTACCAGGAACGCGTTACTTTTTTCAGTAACGTAGTAACCTACTCGTTACGTTTTCGACACAGTAACGGGTAACGTACTTATGTTACTATTTCAAGTAACGTAGTTACGTTAGTCGTTACTACTTCCCAAGTCTTAAAGAAACTACACTTCAGTTGTTTCCGTGTTTTAGGCGTGAAGCCATGTTTTTCTTTGCGTTTTTTCTCGTAAGTATTTAGGTCAAACCGTAAAAAGCGATAAAGTACTTACGTTCAGTTTCTGCATGAACATAATGTTTCTTGATATATGACCTGTATCATCAAAACCGTAAAATGTGTTCAATCATAATTTAAAAAAGTAACGCACAAGTAACGTGCCTTACTTTTTATCGGTAGCGGCGACGCGTTCCTTTTATTTTTAGATAACGTAGCTCAGTAACGCGTACCTTTTATTTGCAAGTAACGAGTAACGTATTTCGTTACTTTTTTTTTTTGGTAACGCCTACAACACTGCCGTTCTGTCGCCGATCCCCTTCTGCTCGGTAGCACGGGCGTAGCGAGCCTCCGACGAACGCTTGGCCGGTGCATTGTGCGCGAACACCGTGGGAACAAAATCCGGGTGGTCTCGATCAGACAACGGTTTCCCTGCACATAAGCAAGCCTCGGGACGGAGTTTGGAATGGAAGCCGCACTTGGCCTCCAAGAAAGTGTTTGCCGCACAAACGGTCGTTCGCGCGAGGTGACCATTCTTTTCGATCCCCAGATATTAACCACCTTCTATGCCTTTCAGAGTCTGCCGGGAACTTGTGGAAACTCACTCTGCTGCTTTTCTTGTACATTTCGGTGCAATTAACGGCAACACGGCTTCGCGGCATGCTGAAATGCTATGACGTCCATGCGAAACGTGCGCGCTTTTGCCCACACCCCCCGGCTCCGGCGCGATCGCAGCGCCGCCGCAGCTCCGTGACGTCAAGCCCGCGTGTCGGTGTATAGCTTCTGGTGCTCGTAATTCCTCCAAAAGTGTTTCGTGATATTCAAAATGCTGCCGCTCCACAACTGAAAATTTGAAGGAAGGAAGACTGCAGGAGTGTTTTTTCAAGGTTTTCATCTGCAGCGTTTCTCCACAAAAAAGTTTGATTTCTGGATACTTCGGCTTGGCTGCAACGGCGAAATGAAAATAATGGGGGCACGTGCAAATAATAATATTTCACTCTCGTCACGCCTTTCAGTACTAAGAGGAATAGTTTCATGCGATGCTCAGGAACCCTAAGGAGCAATTATCTCCACTATGGGAATACACGTGACCAGATATGAAAAAGCTATTGCCTTGCTCATTTATTACTGCTGAACAGAATGCACACAAATGCGCCGAGGGCATCAGTTTGTAAAGAGGCTACATAAAGTTCATGTGTTAGATGTAGACAAGTCTCTGATCACTAAGTGGGGCTCAACAAGTTGGACGGCGTATTTCAGAAAATCTTTTTCTTCCCCTTTATGATACACTGAATTCAAAGTTTTTCAGGCTTCTAACATTGTCGAGTGTAGAACTTCAAAAAGAAATACGTAAATTCCCGCACAAACACTTTCCCCCCCTGAGAGATTGCCCATCCAGTTTTTTTTTAGTGCTAAATGTCAATTGCATTACGATTCTGAAACATCGCCCATACCAAAGTGAATGACCTCAACGGCCAGCTGTTTAGGTTTGTTCTTGACAAGATGCTGGTCAGTGCAATTTTCAAGTAAGAAGAGCCCTGCACATCTGCGTATTACCCACGGATTACCTGCGGGTATTCGCAGTAAACTGGCGGATGCATGTAAAAGTTAGATTTGGGAGATTGCGGATCGGATGCGGATGTTTTTGCGTAATGAGTCGCCACAAACTGACGTATAAAAAAAACTTGGTTTAATATTTACATGACCGCGGTAAAATCCATCCTGACAATTGCCCTGCTTCCCCGTCGTTACAAAACCAAAATGTCTCTCTTCGCGCCACCAACACTTCTTCTTCGTCCTCAGTCCCAGACACAATCTCGTTCACCGAAAATTGTCACAGGTGCGAGACAGGATCGCCCTCCACTAGTCATTTTCCAACAGATGCCAGGGGCTGTGGATGAAAATCGGATGCAGATATCCATGGGTCCGGAACAACAGTTTTGCCGAGGTGACCCCCGAACGTGTGCGACCGCACAGTGTAGAGTGAATAAGTGAGTAATAATATGAAGTGCATCCTCGAATGTATTGCGGGAGCAAACAACTCCCTTAGATAAAAGGTGCCAATCGGGGAGAAAATTGTTCTTTATGTAAAGAAAGATTTCAAATTCTTACCAAAGGTCGCTTTAGAAATGCTCTATTTTGCCAAAAATGCTGTTCTTAGAATAAAAGTAGAGAATGCAGGAGCATCAATCGTCCCGGGAAAGCGTGTTCTTGTTTGGCAGGGAAGAGCAGAAAATGTTCTTTGGGCAAAGACAACCCAAAACATGGAAGCCACAACAAAGTAGAAGCCTGCAAGTGGCTCCTTCGCATATACAAGTAGATTGAAGAGACTGAATTCGAATCTCTGGAATGGTGGAACTTGCGCCAGCACGAGTTTCTGTGCCTCATTCTTGGAGCACAGTTCATGCATGCCATCCCATCATAAAGTGCATCAATGGAGAGAGCCTTCTCATTGGCAGATATTAATTTAAGAGAGGCGAAATATTCGGAGTCCATCCATGTTGACGATATTCGATTTCTTCTACACAGCAACCTCGACAGGTGAAACGTCTATGTGTGCATTTTCCTATAATGCAAAAGCATTAACTCTCTCATAAAGTGAACCGACGTCATCAGCTTTGACGCCGCGCCAAACGGCACCAAACACTCCTGAAAAGAAGCAGCGAGCTGATGGATAGGCTGGTGCGCGTCATCAAGGAACGAGGCTCCCACTGTCTCTCGCACGGCGTAGTTCCAAGGGACGCCAACAGAGAAGCCGTCTCCATGGCGGCGCAGCGCACGCAGCGGCCCGGCCGCCGGTAAGAGGTGCAATGGTGCGGGCCTGGCCGCACAGCCCGCTTTGGTAAACTCCGGAAAGGCTGCACGGCCGAGCTCAGTGGGGCGCGGCCACTTCACGAGCGCACACTCAGCCGTCCACGCCACTATGCCGCAGACGAACTAAGGGAGCGGAAAAACAACGTTCATGTTTTCACATTCACAACTCGTAAGAAGGGCTTAGGTGTGCTTGGAATTTTTATCGGCAGTTGGCACAGAGTTGTTTATATGGTTCCGAGCATGCAGTTGAGGGTTCGTGTTTAAAACTGAAACTGATAAAATTGAGATATTTTCTCAGTGTTTACTCGTGCCTTGCCATATATACGCAAATACACTGCTGAGCTGAGTAAGTGCCTTTCCTCTCCCACTTCTATAAATTTTATAGCCTAAATAAAATGACACAATGTTATTAGTCTGTCATTTGTTAAATTTCACTTTTACAAAATGTGTGTCTGGTTGAAGTGGTCTTTACAAAAAAGAAAAAATTGTGGTCCTTCCACTTCACGTGAAGATGGAAGACCAGTGAAGCTGTTATCTTTATGTCTAAAACGACCTAAAGGACAATGTCTAGGACGACCTCAAGGATGACTTCTAGGACAACCTCAAGCACGTCTAGGACGACCTCTAGGGCGATGCCTAGAGGACGACCTCAAGGACGATGTCTAGAACGACCTCAAGGATGACTTCTAGGACAATGCCTAGAGGACTTCTCGGACGACCTCGAGGACGATGCCTAGAGATGATAACAAGGGATCAAAACCTCACTATCTAATAATGCCAAGGAAGGTTGACTCACGCTGGTTGCCCCCCATTCTTTTTACTTATTCATACTTGCACGACCAATGGGGAGTTTTCTGTCGGCACGTGAGGGCGCATTTTTTCCCAGACCCTAGCGTATGACAGCTTCGCTGGAAAATAAATATTACAATTTTTTTCCTTTCAAGCACGTCCTATGAACAGAGTGTCAGTGTCACGGACTCCCAAGACTATCTCATAACTGCAAAGCACCCCCCCCCCTCCCCTCTTTCCCCCCCTTTTTTCGTTGCTCCTTAGAGAATACATTTTATTCCTGAGGGACTCCCTCCTCCATTTGGGGGTGTTAATTCGACAATTATATTTGTGTCATTTGGTAACAGTAATTCTCCATTGCCTCTATTTTGCACCCAAAAACTGTGAAGTTAAAATACAAAGGATATCGAAGCTTGGGGAAGAGCTTGAGAACGACACTCTTGCGAGATTTAGAGCGGCTGACAACATACTACCGTCCGTCTGAGGCCATTGGGATACTTTTTTAGGTATCCCTCCCGTACTCAATCATAGTTCTATGTAACGTCAGATTAATAAGTCACACTTGGCCCTTTCAATGCTTCTATTCTCGGGGACAACACTCTAAGGCAGTTCAGCAACAAAGAAAACATGTCTGTGTGCCTCAAAGATGTGTACATGTAAAATGGGTCATGCAACAATTTGTGCACATTTAGTAAATACCGCTAAGACTAATCCCCGACGTTGATAACTTCCATAAACATACATAGTTTTCTCCTCCGTGCAAGGTCAGACGCAGAAAAAATAAAGGAAAGAAGCAGCTTTCCCTTTCTCAACTTGCAATTAGAAGAAGCGGCTATGTGAACTGACGTTTATTATATACTGTCAGTGTTCATCACAGTCATACGGTGGGGTTGGCAAAGCATAGAGCATGGGCTGAGCTTCAGACATTGTAAGAGTTTGGCTATCCTTATTTTTTAATGAACACGAGCAAATTACTCAAATGTTTGGCGATGTTGACCGTCATAAACCAGAGCACTCGACTCGGGCTCATGACAATCGAGTATGTCAGGGTTCAATACGAGTTGCATTGCAAGTCGTGATGTCATGCGACGTCACGGTGTCTACAATGCGAATAAATCTAGCGAGTTCCAAATTTAAACCTCCTTGAACACATGATGTCACTATGTGAAGGCTATGTGAAGCGACATTACTTGATAGCCTTTCTTGATCCCCGTCGTGCGACTACCGGACACATGATTAATCATAGTGCCAATTCAAAAGCGCCACGAGAACCTTAAGTTTCTCACATATTGCAATTTTGTATATGACGATTTGAACAATTCATAGAAATACAGCTGCCAATTTTTTTATTCACAAAAATTTTGTGATACAAAAAAAAAATCATGAACAATTTAGAACAGGTTGCCATTATATTTCTGTCCGGTTCAGTTCCAAGATGGCAGCAAAGACTTTGGTTCAGTTCAGTTCCGATTCAGCTAAAAATAATGAATCGGTTCCAGTTCAACACTGCTTGGGACCAAGTGATCCCCAGCCAGACACGTACCATACTATGCATGGGGTTAGCAAACAGTTGGTTTATGAAGTACATAATTTGCACTAGCTTTGACGCGCTGACAAGATTAGGGGGCACAAAATGTGTTGAGCTGCCATACATATAAAGTATGTGGGTAGCAACTATATGTACTAATGTGTGTGTGCAATGGGGCGTGGGGTTGCAATATGTGCGGGGCTAGTGTAACCACATACCACATGTCTCATAGCTCAGCACATTGCGTTCCCACTCTTTGTCAGCGTGATAAAGCTAGTGTAAATTTCTATCATTGAATCGGCTAGCCATTTTTCGCCCAGATAGAAGACTTTAAAGGTGGTTTTCAGAGCCACACAAAACAACTACGCTTTCGGAATTTGCGGGCTCTACTTGTTCCGGCATGCAGTTTATTATTATTATTATTATTATTATTTTTTTAATATTGAAAATAGCTTTTGCGAAAAACTTTAGATTGAAGGCGAGGCAAAAATAACATCAAATTCTCCCGCGCCTTCCAGTGACATTAATGTCGTGTGGTAAAACGTGCAAATCGAGCAGGCAGTCTAAAAACACAGATTATTTCGTGCAGCTGTTCTTGTTCTGTGAAGAAGCTTCTACAGAATTCATTTCAGACCATACAACTCTCGTAAGCAGTTGGGAACAAGTTATACTGCCCAAACCTTGGCCCAACAAGACCATTTGGAAGGTTCCGTAGTTGAGATCCCCCTTTGTATTGGAGGAGCTCAACTGGGCGCTGGATCTAGTCACTCGTATTATTTTCCTCGCTTTTTTCCGCTTGCTTCACAATCCACCAGCACTCCAGTCTTTGTTTTGTTGCTTCCACTGTTGGGATTGGTGGGCTTCCTCCCTTGGCTCGCTATCTGTCGTCATGTTTCAGTGTTGCCAGTAGAGCCCTTCAATTAAAAAAAAGGACGAGGACCCAATTTCAAAATTCAGTAACTTCGCCAAGAAAAAAAATATTTGAACCATTATTAGGGTAAATAGTATTGGTGATGGGTCAGTTTAAACTTAAAGAAACAGACACAGAAAGGATGGGACAAGACAAAAAAGCTGTCTTGTCCTTTCCTTTCTACATCCGTTTCTGCGAGTTCGAGCTGACCCATCACCAATACGTACCAACTAGCTCAACTAAAGCCTGTAAATAGGGTGGAAAAATAGTTCAGCCGTGTATACTGATGTGTACAACAACCTTTGAGGCCAATCAGTGACCATCGAAATTTCGCCCAAAACTCGGAAACGGTTGGTTGGTTGCCTTGGTGACATGGCACACCTCCGAGGACCACCATGCGGAGATAATGCTTGATAAGCCAGTCATGCTGGTAAATTAAAATGAACTTTCCATCGTGGGTGTTTTGATGGCAGGCACCTTTTATCGGTAGTAGCAAAACAGGTACACGATACACACGTAAATATGTATTTATCTGAACAGGTCTACAAGTACAAGTAAGCGTAGGTGTAAATAAATATAAGGATAAATAAACAGGCTCTATTTCAATGGCAGGGGCACCCAAAAATTTCCAAAACAGCGCAACATTTAAGCACCTCAACAAAGCATGCCTACAATATGAAAAACAAATCCCGTATTTGTGGGGGGAAAAGGCAACGCTTTGTTCGGTGCAACCAATTTTGAGTACTCTGCACGTGCTCAATGCAAAATCAAAAGTGGGGACGGGCAAAGAGCAATTAAATGAGATAACTGTAAGTCACAATGAGAAATCTCTGGTTTCCTGCAAGCACAGCTACTCACTTATGCCAATACAAAAAGAACATACAAAAAAACATTGCTAACGCTACTATGACTATGTACTAATAATACTCTGCGACAGCTGCTTCCCAAGCTTACGCCATCACGTCTGTGACTTTAGGTAGCAATGCACACGACAGCCGTCGTAACTGGTCGGCCGATCGTGGGTCGGCCTATCTTCAGGGCAATGCACTGCTATAGTTGGTGACAGGTTGAGTTTAGGGAAACTCCTCCCAACTCTTCCCAATTTAGCAGAGCGAACGTTGGAGAGGACGTCGCATCCTCTCCAGCGTTTGCTCTGCTAAAGTCAAGAGTCGAAGGGAGCTTTTCCCGACCCCTTAACCTGTCACCGACTAGAGATTCAAACACTGAGCACCAATAAACAACTGGAGCGCTACTCAGATCTGACACAAATGAATTTAGTAGATGTAACAGGTCACTCAACAGTAATCTAGATGACATAAAAAGGGGAAAAAAAATATATTTCCACCACCGCAAGATCATTTACAAAACAAGTTTCTACACTTGTACACACACCGGAAGGTTAAAGCTACAAGTGGACATCTGATAGGGAGAACTTGGTGGTTGCAGGGAGACAACAGGTGCGGCAAGAGCGGCCCTTGCTGCAAGAACCAAACAACATGGCAGACGGCCCGCATGATCTCCCAAATTTCAGCCGCCCTACGTCGCAAGAAAACTAGCAGACGCAACAAAATACGGTAACAGGCACCGTGCATGGCCGGCTTACAGCAAAGCCTGGCACAGCAATAAATACCCACCCGCCCAGTTTCTGGCACGCATTCCAAAATAATTGGCCAACAAAGTTGTAAAGAACCCTTAAAGAGTTTCGAGCGTACAAAATGTAGTGACACACTTCAATCCAAACACCGAACAGAGCAAGTTGCACAGGTGTAAAAGAAAACGTGCAAAACTTGAATGTGCCGAAAAGGTGTTCGAGTGTTGCCAAGAACGAACGCGAATCGCAGCGTGTTACGAGCAAGAGAGAAGGATCACTCTGAAAGCATGCAAATCGCTGGGGGTCTGGCATGTGTAGAACAACAAAAATCTTGCAATCAAGCAAAAAAATAAATATACAGTACCATATTTTTTTTAACTACAGTGCGCAGGGGCGAATTTGAGATAAAAATTAAAAGTTTTTGCTTAAATGGTCTGCACTTAGTGCCTAGTCCAAACTTAAAAATTATCACACACAGCATACCTTGACAAATGCCTGCTGTTTTAGCTCACAAAGAAGCTTGTATCATACATAAATCAGCATTAATATATACTTTGTTATTCATTAATTCCTTCACGTCTTGCCACAATAAACAATCTAGAAAAAAGAAATCCTTGTATAGTCTGCACCTCTAGATAGTCGGCATCGAGTAAAATTTCAACTTTTAGGCACGTATAGTCTCCGGACTATAGTCTGGAAAATATGATACTATTCTTAATAATAACCAAAAAGGTGCTAATGCAAGACTGCATTTTAGTGGCACCAGTATGAAAGTTATGAAATGCCACATTTGAGAGTCATAATTATGGGGCTTTGTGCAGAAACATCTACCATCAAAAATAATCTCCTCAAAAGTAGGCCTACAAATGACCAAAAGCAGAATAAAGCGACACTGTCGAGACACCAGAAAGTCAGCGATACTTGGTACAAGCAAGTTCTGGCGAAATTCAATTGACCGATCTCACTAGGCGTTCGGCGCATGCGTGTCGCCGCCATAACTTTAGTTCACAAGAGGAAGACAGCCGTGCATATGAGGCCTCGTGTTGCCTCGTGCTCCACACGCGCAGAGCTCCAGTGGGGTTGTCGCACATGCAGAAAGACTAAAGTTCCCTCTATGCATTGTGGCAGCGGTGGCGTAGCCAAACTGGCTGGTGAGATCGGTTTACTGCTGCCTGTATTCTCCAAGAAACCTGACCCAGGATGTACATAGAGGCAGCTGAACGAGAATGGGTTAAAACAATTGGCAAAGAGAAATGACAAGACTCAAGATAAGTGCACATGCCAGGACCACATTACTGTGCAATGGTACAACATCATAAGGGGTGTAGGCGAGACAGAATGTTGAAACTTTGGAAGGCAAGTTTCACTTTAATTTCACCGACCACCTCAACTGTCTCTAACAAAAAATAGTCTCAAAATATGCCGATCCAAAAGGGTTTGGAAACACTCCTCTTACATTCAGCTGACGATCAAATTCATCTCATGCTTTTCTTTGCAAGTGTACATATGTCTAACAAGGAAAAACTCCTTCGTTCAGGCTGCTGCACTATAATTACAACTAACAAAACTCGCAGCAAAAACTGAATATAGAAAAAACTTAGACACCCAAAGTTAAAGCGTGTACCCTAACCATCCTGACTAACTCGCAAACATGTCAAACTTCAATACAACACCGATTTTACCATTCTTACTTATGCCTAGTCCTTCCCTAGCATAGGGTCAGCTTGACAAATGCATGCAGTGCATTTGATGACCGATCGGTTCCTAGCATCTGACTAACATTTCTAGCAACTAGCAATTACCGGTAGCCGGCATCATAGGACAATTGCTCCTGACATTAGGAAGCACCGGGCATAATCCCGGTGGTCCCCATTGTCAAGCGTAATTAGGTAAAGTTGCACAAATAACCCACCTCTCTTCGCACATACAAAGAACAGTCAAACACTCTCGAGGACACCAATCATCCATCCTGAAACCTAGAGCCACCCAAAGAAGATAATTCACAGCCCCAGGCACGGCCTTTCAAGAAAGGACAGACGGAGAGCCTAGCTCGTGCCCACTCGAGACGGCAAACGTAAGAAACGAGCCGGAACTATCGGAATGCCTAGGGCAGCCGGATCTACGACTCTCGTAGGACCGGAAATAAACGCAAACCGACATCCGTTCAGGACCCCCTGACAACCGCCTTCATGAAACGAAACGTCACCGGAGCGCCCGAAGTGGCATTCCGAGCATCGCGGACGTCTCCCCAATTGCATTACGGCCGTATAAAAAAGAGAGCAACGCTTCTGTCTCCTGCGTCCATGCCACCTGACGGCAGCCCCATCGAGACGGCCTCTCTTACAACAAATGCTACGGCAAACGTAGAGAGAAATCAAATTCGCGAGCGGGCATTGCCGCACTTTGACGGGGATACTTGCCGACGAAGAAACCGATCGCCCATCAAACGTATCTCGCACACTTCCAGGGGTTGCACCACAGCGTCCCTCCCTACACGTGTCCGGCCCAATTACAAATCCTCGCCGGCGCGTTTCTTTTGAACGCCGCCGATAAACTCGAGGCGGCGGCCATCGACGACGGTAGTCGTTGAGCCGCCGGGGTTCCTCCCTGGACCGACGAGAAATCAGAAGACAGTCGCAGAAGAGGCCCACCTAGGATTCCGCCGCGGCGGAGGGCGGGGAGTCGTTGCCGTTGCCTGGGTGGTCGGGGCGCCGCGTGTGCAACACCTTGGGCTTTCCCTTGGAGGGCGACGTCTCTTCGCACACGTGCACCACGATGCCTGGCTGGGACCCAGTGGCTGGGTGCAGCTCGTGCGTCTCTCCTGCACGGGGAGAGGGTGCGTTGGTGAAACGAAGCTTCGGAAGATGCGCATGCGTTACGGGCGGGACACGGCGTAACTTTCAAATGAATGGTTTATTTTGGAAAAAAAAAAAAAAATATATATAGAGATAAAAACCGACACGTGCTGGCAGAACACTGTAAGATAAGGTCTAAACACACTCCATGAAAGACCGGCGTCACTGGCTCTGCAGATAGGGATATTCTTTGTCGGACAATGATAATGAGGGTGCACTTGCGCGAGAGTTGTCGTCGTTAGATTTATTTAAAAAGGCCTCGCGGGTTTCCCTCTGTGTTTTTGTCTCAAAACGGCCCAGGACGCAGGTCTTTTCGAAGTTGGGCTTGCACTCGCAACGGTCGCAGTGAACCATTATGAGGCCAGATGGGGACTGCCTAGTTGCCAATGCACGCTTTCCGACCCTGCCATTGATGCGTCTCCCTGTCTGGCCAACGTACACCTTTCCGTGTGACTGGTGTATTTCATACGTGACGCTAGTGGCGCACTCGCGGAACCTGGTGACATGTCGTTTTTTGCAGATTACTCGCAGCATGACTGATTCCTTTGCTGAACTACCTATCTTTTTAGGCAGCAAAGAAAGTTTGTGTGGTGCTGAAAAAATTACTGGTATATCGAAGCGATGAGCCACCTTTCTTCAGGTTGTGGGACATCCTGTGAATGTAAGGCAAGGTGACAGGTCTACCCACCCTCCTGAGAGCCCTGTCACACATTGTGCTGTGGTCTTTTTTTAATACGAAATCATTAACTGTCCCGTGGGGCAAGCCCACGTCATCAGTTTGAAGCGCGAAAATGGCACCTAGTTTCCCTGATCCCAAAGGTCCCATTGGCTGGCATGCGGCGATGAAGCTCCCACTGGCCGCTACGCGCTTCAGTTTCAATGACTGCCGCCAGATGGCGCTGCGTGTCCACGCCACCAGCGCGCCGATAAAACTAACCGCCGCAACCCCATGCTATTACGGGCCCCGCCGACCAACATGCCGTCGCCCGGCATGTTGGTCGGCGGGCATGTTGGCGTGCACGGACATGTTGACGCGTACTCGGAGGCTTCTCCTCGTCTCGCCACCGACCAATATGCCGTCGCCTCCATCACCGACATCGTCGGCGGTGCGTCTGCTCGTCTCTCAGCCGACAAACATGGCGCCGCCTCTAGCACCCACACCGTCGGACATTCATGCTCTATGCTCTATCTGGGACATTCATCCCAGATAAAAAAAACTGTAGCCGGTCACAAAGCGAGGTCTCATGGGTAAATTTTAAGCCAAAGGCATGGCTCGAGAACAACTTTAAAAGCCCCTCAATCCCTTGGTCATTCTCCATTACAGGGTGAGACACATGCACCAAATAATCGTCTACGTAAAGGAGAACCTTGACTTTTTGAAACAAAACTGACATATTGAAACTTTTGACGCTCGCGAAAAGTTTCTTAAATACAAACTTTTCCTGAATGTCCAACAATGGCAAAACCTTCGCTCTTGCATCATCGCACTCGACTTGATAACAAAGTCATGATTAAAAAGCGGAGTACGTTCTCACTCTCAAAATCCTTGCAGCCAGCAAGCGCTATCGTATGGGATACAACCCGCCCTGGCTACAACTCCAAGTCAACTGCTAGGTAAGACTGCCGCAGCGATCAGCAAACCAGCCCAGGTTTGCGCTTTGAATGGACTTTCTGCCACCATTGAAACAGAGACTGATCGAGAGCAACCGAAAGGTTAAGAACATAATCCTGCCTCCTGTTGACATACAAAAGCGACGGTGGTCAATTAGGCACTACACTTTCCCTCCCCGTAATTACCATAACAAAAGTTAAGACTGACATTTGGACCACCATACGGCAGTAAATTTTGGAGAGGATCTTCAGCTTCCCCAAGAGCCAGATAGCATCTATTTCCGGAAACTCTAACCCTGGCCCCAATAGACCTTTCACTAAAATACGAAGTCCCTAAGGAGTATGCCACACACATAGTTATAGGTGCTGCACACACCGCAATTTGGAACAGTAACTGTTGCAAACAGTGATGCCAGGAACTTTTCTTCAGGAGGAGGAAGTTAAGACTGCCATGACAAACTGAAGAGGGAGGATGGGAGGGGAAGGGGATTTAAGCCTACTAAGCCGAAAACTTACTGCCTCCCTCTATGCCACTAGTTCAAAAATTAAGTGCCTAAAACAAGTGGCAGTTTGTGCATGCATTCCTCGATGCCATACTTTGATTACTTTAAACCTTTTATACTGATCTAGCGTGCTCAGCGTGCATACCTATGTCCCCGGCATTCTCCTTTGTGCTTGGGTAATTTGGCAAACAATCTGCAGTAGATGTGGAATGGTGTTCTCCGGCCAATGTATGGCCAAAGCATAGCTGATGCAAAGCCGACGTAAGGCTAACATCGAGCCAAGGGGAGCGGGTGGGCGTTCTTACCCGGGGTGAGGCTGGCCAGGGCCGAGATGATGTCGTAGCTAATGCAGGGTTGGGCCTCCTCGGAAGGTGCCCAGCCGACCGGCGGTGACGCCGGTGGCGAGATGAGGAACTGGCGCTGCGGCAGAGGCGGCTGCAGGTGGGCCCCATCTTTCCCCTCTCCTTCCGGCGAAGATGCCTGCAAGGGGTGCTTCTCTCAATGCTTCGAAATGCATTCTGACGGTAGCTACCGTAAAATACCGGGCAAGCGCCCACTCAAAATTTAGAGGTAATCGTGAAGAAGTGGGGAATGGGCGCTTGTCCGGTCATCAATTATACATATCAATGTACTGTGCATATTTTCTCAGATCTTACAAATTTGGGAATGGGCGCTTAGTGCAGTATGGGCGGATGCACGGTATTCTACAGTAACTGAAATTTCGGGACAGTGCAAAGTGCCACTGGTACAAAGGTGGAAGGTAGCAGAGCTGGCCACCTGCCAACCATTGCGTGCCAACATGTGCTGTATGCCGTCGAGTGACAACTGTGAGTTACCCCGTACAACACTCCATCACCTCAGCATGTGCATTCTTCGTACCGTGACGAGAAAGACAACAAAAAATATCAAGAGCTGTATTTTGATTTATCTAAAAAAAAAGCGTCATATGCAGAATTGCATTTTATAAGGTATTCGGTGGACACTAAATCTAGTCTCCGCCTTTCAAGCATGCGACACCGTGTCTGGCGTTGCCACAATCTTCTTTTGTACTGTTTCTTTTTTTTTTTTGATTTCTTGCTGTTGTTTTTAAAGTTTTGCAGCTGGCAAAGTCTTCCGGAAGTGCGTAGGACTAGTCCCTCCTGCCTATTGTTTTCTTTCTTTTTTTGTTCTTGCAAAGTTGTGTTGTTTAGCCGGCACAGGTGTTTGGCGGCCGGCTAACTCTCTTCGCGACGCCACACTTCGCTTTTTGAGTCTGAATCGGAGGTAGCTTCGGTAAAAATACAACAGACCCTTTCCGAAATTCAGTCTGGCCACTTCGATAACTGTCATCACCAAAGTGTATACCGTCTGTGCATGCTAATTGCGGCCTTTTATTGGATGGCCCCTTCCCTACGATATCCGGAAGCTGTGCCACGAGTGACTGAGAAAGAGGCGGCAGCTCAAATGAAACCGAGTCCTCTTTCGTGGTAGATAACCTCTCACACTTCAACAAATAAATTATTGAGTGCTTGAAAGTGCTGCTCGGCGCCTTAAGAGACGTCCGATCAAAGCCAGACCGTCCCGGTAAAGATGTTGCCAAGTCATTGCTTCTTTAGAACACTGGATTCGTGCTGCCTCAACAGTATGTGCCGTGCACATAGTGTCGGCACATGTCGAGCGGTCAGACCTCGCTGCGCGCAACGTACGTCCCCACTCTCTAAGTGCCACGTCACGTGCCCTCAAGCACGGCCCGCTCCAGATGAAGGATGAACGGAAAGTTGGAAACAGTTTTGTATTACCGTAAAGTTGGGAGTTTCTCGCTTTCCCCAATCACTGCTCGAGCCTAAGCCATCCATTGGTTATAAAGGCTATGCAGTGCACTCCGAGCGGCGAGGCACCTAGTGGGGCCGCCGGTCGCGATCAAAGGCAAACAACTGTCAGCATTCAAAGGTCGACGAGCACGGCCCTTCGTGGACCAACATCCCAGCGTAAAGGCGAACGGACCGGTGACATGGGTTGACGTTTCCATGCACCAACGTTGGCATGCATCTGCCCATCGCACGCCGGAGCCTAAATGGCCTCCGGTCGATTGCCAGACTTTTGATGGACTTAAAGGGTAACTGCAAAGAAAAAAAAAAGTGTATTTTTAAACAGTCTAATTGGGACAAGCATGTCACAAAACAATGTTTCCGCCAAAAACAAAATTTTTTACAGCAATATTTATTGCGCGAGACTGATTTTAGTTTGCGGCTATTTCGTCCGTTTTAAATTGCGCGCCACGAAGTTGGTATTAAGCGCGAAACACATGTACGACGAAACCGTCCGATCCGACGTGCGGACTGCCGGAATGACCTTGGGGGGAGAGGGTTTTCGTAGCATCGGAGAGCGTTGAAAACCCTCGCCTCCGACCGTTGTATTGCGCGGTCGGACGTCGAATCGGACGGTTTCGTCGTACATGTCTTTCGCGCTTTATACGTCACGTAGTGGCTGCTATACGTCACTGAGTGACGTATAACAGCCACTCTGCGCGCGTCGAAAGAGCGGGAGTTCCAAATGTGGAGAAGTTGTGTCGGTTGTGACCCCGATTAAATTATGTCCTGTGGCGTAAATATTGCTAGAAAAAATTTGCTTTTTCGCGGAAGATTTCTTTTGTGACATGCTTGTCCCAATTAGCTGTTTAAAAATACACTTTTTTTTCTTTGCAGTTACCCTTTAAATCCGATATTGGCGGTTTTGCTTCACACAATTTGTCCACCTACGCAAAGCGCTTGGGAATGATGGCACACTTCAAGTGAGGTTTCGTTTGGACCCTTATTGCTCTACGATGCTCAGATTAATCTCGCAGATGTTGTCGACGGGGTGCAGAGAGCAAATAGAAGGTTACAAAGGGTTCCACAGTTTTGGCTGAAAATGAAACCCCGAGCAGATTTTCCCAAAATCAGGGGTAAACCGAGAAACCCGAAAATTGAGACATCCACAATAATAGAAAAAAAACATAGCAATGCGGGAAGAGAATCTGTAACTACAACTTTATATCCCGTTTACCCGAAACGCACAGTCTCCAGTCAACCGTGCCCCCTGTCCCCAAGGCGGCTTCTTTGCTTGTCTTGCTTCTTTGCTTATTAGTACCAGGTCGTTTAATAAGTACTTGGGCGTGGGCACGTTGTCCGGAGGTTGAGGAATCTCGCATTCTACTTTTTTCAACATACGCCCCGATAAACGCCGATTTTTTCTCCGACGCCGAAAGTTGAAAGCAAAAATCTCAAATTCTGTGGGAAAAACCCACAGATTTCCTGAAATACATCCCCGAAATCGAAGCAATTGTTCAGGATTCCGACATCTACTCTCTTTGAGCTGATATTAACGTGTTACCCAATAGTACGATGAATGGTGTGTGAAACTCAAAGGGTTTAGGACACAAAAATAAAACGGGTATATTATTCTTGAAATAAAATTCTTATAGATTACTTAGTTATGTGCACAAGGTTTCGCGATTTTTAAGGCCCTAGTAACTGCAATAATCAATTTACGAATGTCGATCGTTTTCGTCTGGTGGCCAGGCCACACTGCCCAAGTCTATTACACCTCGGTGTCTACAAACCACGTGATCATTGTACTTAGCTGAACATTCTCTTATTCAGGTGCCCTCATGCTCGCCTTGCCTTGGTACAGTCGCACGCTACTCGGCAACTCCAACGCCATATACTCTTGCTCTCGTTTCCTTACACTATGACCAACCGCCCTGCATGCACCAGATTGCTGCAGACGGTGAGTATGTCTGCGACAATCTTGTCGTTATCGCTGGAGCTGGTTGCCAGCGGGTCGAAGTCAAAAGGACCAGTTTCCAACATCTTTTGATAACAATCGCTCTCATCGCTGTTGCAATCAGTGTAGAGGACTCTGATAAAGTGAGTGATGCCGTAGACGTTGTCTCAAAACTGCATGTTCGAAACATGGAAGGTAAAAGAGGAAGCTGAAGTGCGAGACGCCGAAAAAGCCAAGTCTGTGAGTGCGTGTAAGGGGAGGCCGTGAGTTGGGCGAACGACGTCACCGACCCAACAAACATGGCAGCCTTTCCGAATAATGTGGATCCGAGGGTCCCGCATATGAATCAATTTGTCCACGAAACAGTGCCATTTTCGAAACAAATTTAACAAAAATATAGGAACACACAATGGGTTCTAGCAGTATAGTTATCTCATATATCAACGAGTCTCTCTCGGCAAAATTTAAAGCTTGCCTTTCTTGCTTCATCAATAATTCTATGCTCCTTGGTGGGCCCTCCTAGAAATATCTCGGTGTTTACGTAACTAATGATCTTACCGGAAAAACCCATGTCGACTACGACGCTAATATTAGTAAAATATTGGGTTACATCGAAAGAAACGTTTTTTCTTGACCCCATTTCATTATAACTTCATATTTATAAAACTTCAATTCATACTAAACTTGAACATGCAGCTTCAATCTGGGAACCTGATATCCCCCTTGCATCTCCAATAGAGTCCATCGAAAACCGCTCCGCTCGTTTTACACTTCTAACTATTACCTCACAACCAGCATTACCTCTATGAAAGCATCCTTATCCTTACCTAGCCTCTCCCTTCGTAAAAAAAAAAAAGAAGATATTTAGCCTATATTTGTTATGCAAGATTTATCACTCTAACCGAACACCTCGCCAAGCACCATTTTCAGAACCATCTTACATATCATCATGCACCAATCGTCAACTGAAAGTTAAAATCTCCCATAGCAGCACATCTACGCCTTCTCCTTATCCCAAACCTCAATTGATTAGAATCTCCTTCCCGCCATCATATCTTCAATTACCAACACCGCTGATTTAGAATTGCACCATAGACCCTTTTCAAAAGTCCATCGAGCAACACTGGTGGTCGCCACTGCTTGGAGACAAAGCGTGTGATTGGATCCGAGTCCTAGCCGAACGCTGATGCAGCCCACGTGTCCCATACATGCTCAGAGTATGTGATCAAACGATGGCGGACAGGAGTCGTTGCAGACTTTTGGAAAGGGTTTATTACTAATTCTGTTAAATGATGCTTCCTACTAATTTAGGATTTACGTAGTTATGAGTCCGACCCCTGCAGTAACCCTTTGGGAATCGCTATCCAACCTCATATCCTTCTCCCGTTCTACCTCTGAAAATTTTTGATGCAACACTTTCAAAACAGCACTGAAACGGTCTTTCGTGCAGCGTGTGCGAGATATCGCACCTGAAGTCATCCATCAACTCTCTGCTACATTTGTGCATGCCGCCATGACACAACACCTACAATCTAAGAGCAAGAAGTGCAATCTTTTGCCACATGTATGGTAACATCAAATTGTGCACAAATCTTTTTTTTTTTTTTTAATTTTTAGTTTTCAGGCATTAAAGATAAAGTGTAGGGATTTTAAGGTTGCGAAGGTAAACTCCCATTTATTTTTCCTTAAAATGTCCCCCATATTATAGTAAGTGGCGGAATGCCGAAGGGCGAGAGAGGGTTCCTGTGGGACTGACATGCGCCAATAGCAGAGGCGTTCGCCACACAGCGTCTAGAGTTACCCACTCTTTACAGGCAGTCGGTGGGGGCCACCATGGCCTGGGCCATCCGGAGCCCAGCGAGCAGCGGAGTGGTTTATGACCAGAGTGCGAAGTGCATCCTGTTTCTCGGAGACGACCCCACGACCCCCCATGGTTCCTTCGCTTGTCGACCGGATTTTGTTTGTGCGTTCCTGGAAGTGTTTTTCTGTCGGCTTTGATTGTTACATGTGGGGATGAGTTAGTCTGGATTCGGAAGCGGAGGGAGACAGACTTCACGTTATCACCCTCCCAACCATGCTCCAGCAATAGGTTCGTCGATGTCCTGCACTTCATTACTTTTGCACCTTTGCGTAATTGAAAGTCTTCATTTTATTCTATTCAATAAACTTCATTCTTTGTGACGTCCGAGTGGCTTGGTGGTCTGCCAGCGAGGTCACAGCGAGCAGAATGGCTGGACGTCCCGAGGCTCTCCAACGAGTGACAACCGGCGACGAAACATCGATCGTTAAGAACTCCGAAACAACCTTTACTGGGATTAGTGTAAACAGCTTAGTTTTTATGACGAGCTAATTTTCACAAGTCTTGCGACTTGAGCTATGTTTAAAAAAATTTACCACAGAAATATATTACCGCATGGTAACGAATACATAACATGTAGCCCAAAATCGCAAAATGTTCCAAGAACCCATGCCTCGCAAAATTTGCAAAATATTACGCCCGCAAAAATTAAGTTGTTTGCAGTTTGTCCAGTTGTTCTGGATTATTAAAAAACACACAAAAAAGTTATGGATTTTGGGTGTGATAGTTCCTTTACCAAAATAATAAAATTTATGAAACATAATTTTGTATGAAATAAACTAAGGAAAAAACAGACACCGTAAGATGCCGAGCAAGCGCCAAGTCAAAATTTTTAGATACTCATGTAAAACTGGGGGATGGGCACTCCTAAGGTCAACAATACGTAAAGACATGTTTTTGATAGTGATTTTGCGAACGTCACAAAATTGAGGGGTGGGCACGTATTTTGGAGTTGATGGACACTCAATATTTTACCGTAAAAGCAAGGGATGACACAAGCACTACTAAAAGATGTGCCTGGGCTTAATCTTTCATTTACTTCAGAACTCCCACCACCATGCTATCAGTTCCTTCAACTTCTATCAGCGCTGAAAAACCGAAAAAGGCATAGATATAATTACAGAAACTTTGAACGCTACAAGAAGAGACTACTCGTCACCCCCCAAATTCCAGGGCCCTAAACTCGTCAAACACAAAGTTGGAGGCGAAAGTTTGCAAAGTGCGCCGACTGGATGCTGGCGAAAAAAATGTGAAGTCATCGTCGTGACAGGCCAATCGGTATGCTCCGTCAACTTCGGCCTCAACTTTGTGTTTGACAAGTTTAGAGGCCCAGATGTTGCATTCCCGCACGGATGCTAGTCCTCGAGCGTCGGTATGGCTTTGTTCGCCGAGCAAATACAAGACCCTGGAGCAAAAACGTTTTGGCTAGTGTCTAGTGCCAAAGAGCAAAAAAAAGAAATTATTTCCGGAGTCAGAGATCCCTCAATCGCCAACTGGAAATGTTTGGTCAATCAGAAGCTTGCCCTGTTGATTGCCAGGAATGCAGAGTAAGGTTGATGCTTGACCTTGTTGGTAGTTCATTCTTAAAAGTACAAACAGCACAAGTAAAAGCAGACTGACACACAACTTTGGTGTGGTCCGTCAGTTTTCTTTTACTCTGTATGCGTCATGCTATTTGTACTTTTAGGCATAGTAAGGGATTGCAAACAACAGGGTTAGCCAATAAGGTCGCTCTGTGGGAAGCTATCTAAAGGAGGATCGCCTCTCAAAAAGGTTTTGCCTTCACCGTTTTTCTTTGTCTCGACGTAAAAGCGAGCGACCACAAACGCTACAAAGCACGAGCGGCTAGTTTTGACCGGTGCCCTTGCTGCAGAACCGCATATTGGGAGAGTTTGGCCAGTTTATGATCTCACCGCCGTAACGCCCCCCTCCTGAGTGAGTCAATCAGCTGCAGCGCAGAGTGCGAAGTGTGAGTGCATGCGTGTGAACTCCCGACTGCTCCCAGCTGAGCGGCGAGGGCCGTCATTTTCATTCATTCGCCCAGTGGAATGAATAGAATCTGCATCTAAATTTCGGTTATTTATTTCCTTTTATATAGCTGGCTCTGGCAAGAAAGTGATACCCTGTTATTCCTCGGTGGGTTAAAAGCTAACAAATCAAGTTTTCTCGACGTCTGACCGCAAACTTTTATTCGGGCGAAAAAGTCGGCCCGTAGCAGACGACGCATAGCTTCAACAGTGCTCTGTAAGGAAAGCGCGTTGCGTCGAAATGGCGACCGTCTCCTCTTTGCTCCCTCCATCCTCTCTCGCTCCTTTGGCGCTCTCCTCCCTCTCCTCCATTTTTCTCCTCTCCAGCACCTTCGTTGCCACACTTACTGGCTAGACTCTCTCAATATACAGCTCTGCCCTGCTGTACAAGCGCTCGCGCAGCCGGGGCAGGACCCAACGAGACGGGTGTCGCTTGTAGCCTCTGCGGTTAGTTCGTGTTAAGGCGAGACGAAGCACAGACGGCCAAGAGTCGAGGACCAGTGCCAGACGGCCTCGTTCCTCCCACCTGAGCGAAGTAGCAGTTGAGCACGCTCTCCCCTAACTTCATCTGATGGCACTGGATGCGCGCCTGTGCGGCTGCGTCGGGGTTCTCGAAGATTACCCGGACCCTCCGGAAGCTCTTCAGGTAGTGGAAGCTGGCAGCGCCGTCGAAGCGCCGGAACAGCTCTTCAAACTGCGTCTGCGGGGAAAGGAGGGGCATTAGATTAGACTCTCCGCCCAAGGGGGAGGATTTTTATAGAAACAGTCTTCGATACCGCCTCACGGCTTGACTCGTCTATAATCGTCAAATTCTTTATTAGCCATGCTGCTTGCAGTCGCAGGGGACATACAATCGTCGACAAAGCCAACTAAACCACAGAAGCGTGTGGCTTTCAACTATGTGAGCACGTCGTGCTGGCAGAATAAAGTGCGCCGGTCAGTTGTAAGATTAGAGGCTATCGACATCTGGTTATCAGCATTACAGCTAAGCCCGAAACTGTCAAGAATTACATGGTCAAATGGCCAAATGTTAATAACCACTAACTCGCAAAAAAAAGGGGAGGTTTTTTATATGGGGAACATTTTCCCACCCTTGCAAGATATCTTTATTCAACTTTCTTGTGGATCAAATTATCCTGCTGTGCCCCTGTCATCCATGTGAATATCCAGACAGTGTGGATACCTGTATCCAATAATCTTTAATCTAAATGAGCAAGAGAGCCAAGCATACAGATAAAAACTTCATAATAGAAAACGTCTGCAAAACAAGAAACCAATGGCGGAAAAAGAACTCATAAGCTCTTAAATTCCTGCTAAGTTTGGTCATCGCTACTATGGCATACTTTCAGGTGTTTTGCAAACTAAGATGCTAATTTCAGCAGAGCAGTCGGATTATTACTGAAGCAACAGCAGCTTAAAATAAGCAAGTTTTGTGCAAAGTTCATAAGCTACAGGAGATTATTCTTACAACAGTCAACTGTCAGCGTAAATAACAATGCTGCATGTTTAAAGCACATTTTGATAAAATAGAAAGTAACTGACCATGAATGTGCAGATATGAATCTTAGTTCATCAAACTAGTTCACCTCATCGAGACGGTGCCGTCTCGATGAGGGACCGAAATTTTACTTACTAAAGTTCCAGAGTTTAAATTGCGTAGAGGTATGCATTTGCAGCAAAAAGCAGCATCAAGTGGCTTTTTCTTTCTTCTTTTTAACAGTTAAAACTAGATAAAATACAGAATAGGTATCGGACGCTGCAAACCGAGCCGGATAAATCGGCGCCTGCGCATAGAAAGCTCAAACTTTCACCAGAAGTGCACTGAGCAAGCCAGTCTTAAAGGGATACTTCAACGAAATTTGAAATATTCCCGTCGTGTTCAAAAATAGGTTGAATATGATCCACAATATCCGCAAATGACAATCGCACGTTTGTATTTTGAGCCTGGTGGTTGTATTTTTCGTTATAAACGGCCCACTCTGGCAAGCGCTCAAAGAAGGCCCAGCGGAGACCACGTGACACCCAACGCAATCGTGACGTAAGTCGTTTCGGGATGAGCAAAGCTACGGCGAGGCTGACGTCGAGAGGATGGCCTAGTCGTTCCAGCCACCGAAGCGGCTGCTTTTGTACGAATTTTGAGTGACGGGATAATCTTCTGTAATCTTGTAGGGGGACAATAGCGACTTCTGCGACACACAAAAGGCATTCTCGGGAAGAGGGGAGTTCCTCCTGCCCCTCTTCTCTCGTCGTGACCGGAGGCGAGACAACCTCCGTCACTAGCTATCAAGGTTTCTAGACAAGTATTACAAGCGAGGCGTTAGTGACATCCACCAGGTGCTCTTTGCTAATCGTTTAATTTGTTTTAAAATTCCTTTTCGTGACTTTTTTAACGAGATATTGGTATGTTTGATGTGATGCTGCTCCTTTGAACACATATAGACCAAAAAATGAGCACCGAAATTTCGTTGTAGTATCCCTTTAATGTGAGAAATTTCAAGGCTTAGTTCTCTTGCTGTAAAAAATGAGAGCAACAAACTTTGCAAAGTCAACAGCGGGAGCGTTTGCAGACAACTGAGCCAGCGACAATATTAACTTGTGGTGCCATCTCCCAATGGGTGCAGCAAGCAGAAAACAAAGTATGATGTCTGTTCGCTTCACCTGTTCGTAGATGGTGTCACAAGTTAATAGTGTCGCTAACTCGATCGTCTGCAAGCGTGCCCAACGTTGTCTTTGGCAAGTGTGTTGCTCTCATTTTTTACAGGAAAGGATTAAGCCTTGAAATTTCACATGATAAAACTGACCTGCTCAGTTCGATGGAAGTTTAAACTTTCTACGCACAGGCACAGATTTTTCTGTCTTGTTTTAGAGCGTCAGATCCACTTGTGCCATCCTATATTTCTGTTAACCCCTAAATGTCCGAAGGGAATATATTTCTCACTTCCTTAAAACACCTGCAGGTCCCAAAGGGAAATAAATTCCCTCTTATTATTGTGATGACATCTACCCATGCCTCAACTAAATATAATAAAAATGTTTCCAAAAGTTTCTGTACATGCCACAAAGGACTTGCAAAACTTTTGTTGACAAGACTAAAGTTTTTCAATACGACGCCCTTCTTGTGGGAGCTCCGAAAAGCAGGAAGATAATGAAGGAACGAAAGAAAAACATTGATAAGAAAATGTAGATCGCATTTAGTGTATACTACGTGCATTAAACAATCATTTTATTCAGTGATAATCATACTTATAATTTCTGAGCAAAGTTACAGGAGCGAAAGGCCCCTCACATGGTGGGAACATTATTCCCTATGGGTATTTGGAGAAGATTATTATATATTTTTTTGTTTCTTTCCAAGTGGCAAAGTCTTTTTCTTTGGAAGAGGCCTTGGATATGTACTTTGATCTTCCAGATGAGATAGAACACTCATGAGACAACAAGAAAGATGACAATATCAATGCAGTGCAGTCACACACTCAAAGGTTTCTCGAGAAGACACAGATCTGAAACCTGCCAGATATGATATCGACTCATCTGTCAATGTCGACTAAGGTGGCAACTCCAGTGTGCGCTAATATGCTGACACTCACCAAAACAACAACACTTTTAATGCGTCTGTTAAAAAAAAAAAAAAGTTAATGTTACATGAAAAGAACATTCTCTAGATTTTTGTTCGAGATCCCCCGCTTCATCCAAGGTTGTTCTAAAGCGCTGTCCACACAATTGCAACCGAATACGACCGAAATACAAGACCGGTTTTTAAGCGTCTTATGACGGCGTTCAACCTACTCTGCAGCAGCGCATCTGGTCCTAAGAAGTCGCAAAAGGCTTAAAAACCGGTCTTGTCTCCCCCGGTCATACTCGGTTGCGAGTGTGCGAACGGCGCTTAACTCTCACACAAGTGATGACTTGACACACGGTTTGGTAAAATAGCAAACATGATTGCAGAGCAAACCAACCTGTGCGCTAAAGTAATCAAGATGAAGGGCTGGGAAGACTCAAAACAATTAGGCAGTCCTTCATTACTCCGCACTAGTCAGTGATAGCTGCCATACGTCACAGTAAAGTCGTTGGGCGTTGGTGATGCGTTCATGCAAAGGCGTTAAGAAGAAAATGGACACCTGACCATTTTGTTCCGAACACCTTTGTTTCTTGTTTTGCAGCGCATCTCCTGGCACAAGCTCTTGGCACTGATAGCGCTACAATTACATTATGCTATCGGATATTTATTAATTTTTTTCCAGAGAGCACGTGCAGTGGGCATTGGGTACTACAGAAACCCTAGGTACAAAGCAGGTGGTTAATGTTGTGGCGTAGCTCTGTGGCAATGCCTCCGCTTCGCAATCAGCGGAACCAGGTTCGATTCCTGTAGGCAGTGGGCAATCTTCTTCGAGGATTTGGCAAAGTCAATGACAAACACCCTATGCCCTTCTATGCCAACTACATCCCCAACGTCAACAACGGACGTCATATCCAGTGGTGGGAACAGCCCCTAGCAGCGATCGGTGTAAAAGACCTCGGCGTACCTTACGAAGTGCGCTTTTCAGCCAACGTACATTTCACCAAGTTCGGAAAACCTACAAAAGATGCAGGTATTGCTCGAGAGAGAAAAATTACAAGAGGTTGAAAATCACCTGCTCGACATGCAAGGTTCACCTTTGTGCATACCAGTGCCCTGTTTTGCAGAGTTGGCGCCGATTGACGATCCAGAGAGAAGAAAATTCCCAACCTTGCGTTTCTGGCACCAGACATCCAATCTTCCAACTTTTCGCTTCTATTAAGCTTCTGTGGCCATAAAGACAATTTCCCCAAAGTTTCAGTAAAACCTAACTAAAAAAATTGCATACATATTCTACATATGTATGCAATTTTTTTCCTATTTCTCTCCGAGGGATACAACTTCATGCACTCAAGTGTACCAGAAAAAAGGAACAAATGGAAGTACAAATTGTTCCTGAATTCACCTTAAAGGGGCCCTGCAATCATATTTAAGCGTCTACCTTTTTTGCGGTTTCCATGTCCCTCGGGGTTCGGGCAAGCCAGCGGACACGGAGAGAGTAACTCAATATCAGTGCGTCATATTTTAACTGGATGACGCGGAAACCTCCACTTACGGAGGCGACCCGCGGTGCCTAAAGTGTGCGATATGTGACATCTTAGGTCCTGGGCTCACTAGTGGTCAGAGCCGCTTAAAACTTCTTTTTTGTCGAAATACAAAATATAAGTGGCGTGATCCGTTTCAATTATTTATAAAAGCAGTTTTTGTTCATTATTTTAGATCAGAAAAGAAACAAATGCAGCTTAGAAAGTACGGAAACAAGAAATGACCCATCGACATACCTGCCACCAAGCGATGGAAAGGTCGGCGCATACTAGAAAGGCATAGTGGGATCAGTCTGTACGACCGCAGCGTCGCCGCTGCGGTCGTACGGACTGGAGGATCCGACCGGTATCGAGCGTTCCTAAGGCCTTCGGCGAGCAGCTTTGGCTTGAGGTTTTGCCTTTTGGTGGTACGTCAGCTCAAAGTGGCTCCCGTTTTGGACTGATCTTTACCCCGTGTTTGCTGTCGTTCATGGCCAATGAAGTGTCATGCCGAATTAGTGTTTAATCGCGCAGCAAATGCAATGCGAGCCGCCCATGTTGCCCACTTCATGCAGCCTATCCAGAACATGCATTAGTGGCGCCCTATCGAGCCGTCGACCG